CCTATAGCAAGGCCAGGAGCCCCTAGTAGCGTCCTTGCTCCTAGTAGTAAGGCTAGGAGAACCTAGTAGCGTCCTTGCTCCTAGTAGTAAGGCCAGGAGCCCCTAGTAGCTTCTTGCTCCTAGTAGTAAGGCCAGGAGCCGCAAGTAGCGTCCTTGCTTCTAGTAGTAAGGCCAGGAGCCCCTAGTAGTGTCCTTGCTCCTAGTAGCGTCCTTGCTCCTAGTAGTAAGGCGAGGAGCCCCTAGTAACGTGAGCCCCTGGTAGCTTCTTGTTCCTAGTAGTAAGGCCAGGAGCCTCTAGCAGCGTCCTTGCTCCTAGTAGTAAGGCCAGGGCTTCTAGTAGCGTCCTTGGGCCAGGAGCCCCTAGTAGCCTCCTTGTTCCTAACGCCACAAGCCCCTAGTTGCGTCCTTGCTCCTAGTAGTAAGGCCAGGAGCCCCTAGTATCTTCTTGGTCCTGCTAGCGATGCCCTTTGCCCCTAGTAGCGTCCTTGCTCCTAGTAGTAAGGCCAGGAGCCCCTACTTGCTCTAGTAGTAAGGCCAGGAGCCCCTTGTAGCGTCCTTGCTCCTAGTAGCAAGGCCAGGAGCCCCTAGTAGCGTCCTTAAGGCAAGGAGCCCTTAGTAGCGTCCTTGCTCTTAGTAGTAAGGCCAGGAGCCCCTAGTAGCTTCTTGTTCCTGCTAGCGATGCCCTTTGCCACTAGTAGCGTCCTTGCTCGTAGTAGTAAGGCCTGTTCCTGCTAGTGGTGCCCTTTGCCCCTAGTAGCGTCCTTGCTCCCCTAGTGGCGTCCTTGCTCCTAGTAATAAGGCCAGGCCCCTAGTAGCGTCCTTGCTCCTAGGGGGTAGAGGAGGCAGGAGGTAGTAGCTAGGTAACTACCTAGTAGCTTAAGTAGCTACTACCTCGGACGCAGGATAGCTCATGCTTCTTCAAGGAAGCTCTTTCTGCCTGAGGGTTGGGCGAGCTTCCTTGAAGAAGCGCTCGCACTGTTCATTTGGTTCCTGGATATTTTTCCCCAAACAGTTTACTGTTAGGGGTTCTCAATGCTTTAAAGAATGGTCGCCTTGGTGCTGGATGGTCTGGTCGGGTTCCCGGCCGGCTTGTCTCCCACTTCCTTTTATTTGTCTCCCACTTCTTTTCATTTGTCTCCCAAGCTCGGTGCTTGTGGTCGGGTTCGCGGCTGGCTTGTCTCCCACTTCCTTTCATTTGTCTCCCACTTCTTTTCATTTGTCTCCCAGTTCTTTTCATTTGTCTCCCAGGCTGGGTGCTTGTGGTCGGGTTC